GCTCCTACTAGAAGGTTACTCTCACCATGATTCTTAGAAAAGATTTGAGTCTATACAATTTTTTTCTATTCCTATTCTTTTTGCTCGTCATTTTTATATGTGCTTACTTGAAACAGAGAGCAAGCATGCTGTGCTTTGTACATAAAAACATTCCATGAACACAATAAGGCATTGAGTGTGTTTCCTATCCCATTTTCTCTAAAGGTTTACTGGTTTCAAAGTAATTTCAAACCCCATTGATCCCATTCAAAGCCTTTGATTCTTACTTGGGAGATATCTCTCACTCAGGAAACTGAGGCTCAGAAAGTTGATGAAGTTAGTGCAGGATTACCTGACCCAGAAGTGGTGGAGTTGGCACCAGAAGGAAACTCTTTGGACACCACATCCTGTATTTGTTTCTGTTCCCAAACTGCCTTGTGGTGTGGAGTTTGAGTCATCTACATCTTCTCACCCAAGTTCTCTTTTGACTAACTCCAGGCCTGTTTGAGATGGGCTTACCCAAGTCAGGCATGCACTTTCTGGGCACAGAGGCCAATTGAGCTACATGCAAGTAGAAGTTAGGGCTGACTGATCGATTGATTGGTGTCCCATGTGGGAAGATTTGAAGCAACTAATTTTCTCTAATATAAGCTGCTACTTCTTGTGCACTGATGCCAGATGTTGAGCTCATCACACCTTATTTTGCTGATTTCTCATATCATTAGGAGATGCAGGTACAGGTACTAGTTTTGTACTGCCAAGGAAGCTGCTTGTCTGACTTCACAAAGTTATATAATTAGGAAATGGCAGAAACAGATGTCAGACTCAGGAAGTCTACTCCCAAGCCACTGATTTTAACCGCTATCCAGTGATTTCCAAGCCAAGTTATAAGGACATTCCAGGCAGGAATAGCCATACCTGTAAATGCTATAGAAACATGAACCAGCAAGGCAAGAGAGGAGTTGCAATGGCTAGAATTGTGTAGCTTGCCTTCAGTCACATAGCCAGGGTGACAGAGATGGGATTTGAATTCAAGTGTTTGTGACTCATTGTCATGAGGCCATGCTGCCTGTCAGGGAATGGGTTTGGTTCTCACTCTCTAAGTCTAGATTGATTAGTGTGGTGAAGGCATATAGAGTATTCACCTGGTACTGTGGGGCAAGGCACTCCCAGCAGTCACATATGGGTCAGTAGCAAATGTTCTCCTCTAGATTACATGTCCTTTTCACAGGATGAGTCTCTTGGGCAATAGGAAATTCTCCGATGACAGAGGTGGGCAGTATGGTGTAATAGAAAAAACATAGTCGCCAAGTTTAAATTCTGGCTCTGTAATCTTCTGGCTGTGTGACAAGTGCAAGTTCCTTAACCTCTCTTTGCCTGTTGCTCAACCTTTCCCTCTCCAATTATCCACTGTGTGTGTGTGATTTTTTCTTTGAGACAGTCTCACTCTGTCGCCCAGGCTGGAATGCATTAGTGCAGTCTTAGCTCACTGCAACCTCAGCCTCCCAGGTTCAAGCAGTTATCTTGCCTCAGCCTCCTGGATAGCTGGGACTACAGGCGCCTGCCACCCATGTTGGCCTCCCAAAGTGTTGGGATTACAGGCATGAGCCACCGTGCCTGGCCCCACTTGATTTTTGTGAAAAACAAGTATTGAATATTTCTTTTGGAGGTCTTTGTAAGGATTAAATACTGTATATGTCAAACACATGGCACATAGTAGATGTTCAATATATGGTAGCACTTTATTAATATTACTTGAAAATATTACTGCTTTTCTTTGTTGGACATTTGTAATAATTATGTGGAGCTCTTGTTTGAGGAACATGTTAAATAGTAAGAAATTGGATTCTAAATTATAAGTCTGGTATTTCCAAACAGGAAAAAGGAAGAATTCTGTATTTTAAGGTGAATTTCACTAAATGAGAGTGAACATTTTCAGGTTGACTTTTGTGGGATTTAAAAGGTTGTTTTTCTGTAAAGGAAACCATAGAAACAAAAATTAAAAAAATAGAATTAATCGATAAGTCTATTGCTCTACAACTTTAAAAGTTATACAAACAAGTGTAAAATCTATATCCTCCAACTGCGATTCCACCCTCAGGGGCAACCACTATTAACAATATGAATTATATACATACATATGTGTGTGTGTGTGTGTGTATGGCAGAATTGGCTTACATGATTACAAATATGAAGTTCCACAATAGGCCATCTATAAACTGGGGATTGCCAGTAGTGTGCCGCAATTCAAGTTGAAAAGCCTTGAAACCAGGGAAGCCCAACAGTTCAATCCTGAGTAAGTCTGAGGGTGAAGGCCTGAGAGCCCCAGGCAGGGTGCTAGTGCAAGTCCCAGAGTCCAAAGGAAGATGAACCTGAAGCCTGACGTCTAAGGGCAGGAGGAGAAAAGGGACCTCATTGCAAAGGGAGAGAGGGGGGGAAGTTAAGCAATCTGAGTATCTCCCTTGTTCCACCTGGTTTGTTCTAATCATACCCGTAACTGATTAGATGGTGTCCACTCATGTCAAAGGTGGCTTTTACTTCCACTCACTCACATATCAGTCTCCTCTGGAAACACCCTCACAGACACACTCAGAAACAGTGCTTCACTAGCCAGCTAGGCATCCCTCAATCCAGTCCAGTTGATATCTAATATTGAACATCACACTGAGTATTTCACTTTTTGATGCTGTTGTGAATGGGATTTTCTTAATTTTATTTTTAATCTCTCAGTTGCTATTATGTAGAAGTCCACTTGATATTTATATGTTAGTCTTGCATTCTGTCATCTTACTAAAATTGCCTATTAATTCATGTTTTTAGTTTGTAGATTCTTTAGGATTTTCTGCATATGAGATCATGTCATCTGAAAAGAAAGACACTTTAACTTCTTTTCTAATCTGTATGCTTTTAATTTACTTTTTCTAGCAATTACTAGAAGCTCAAGTATAAGGTTGAATAGAAGTGGTGAAAGTGAACATTCTTGCTTTATTTCTGATGGGGGAAAGCATTCATGTCACCATTAAGTTTGATGCTAATTGTAGTATTTTGTAGATGCTCCTTATCAGGTTGTAAAAGTTCTTTTCTATTTCTGGTTTATTGAGTATAATATTTGGAGCATGGGAGTTCTTTTTCTGCATCTGTTGAAATGATCATTTGATGTTTGTACTTTGGTCTGTTAACATGCATATTACATTAATTAATTAATGGATATTAAATGACTTGCATTCCTGGGATAACTCCACATAATCATTGTATATAAAGGCAAGTTTTATATGCTGCAAGATTTGGTTTGTTAATATTTTGTTAAGGATTTTTACTGTGTTCATGATAAATATTAGTCTGTGGTGTCCTTTTCTTATGGCTTTGCGTGGCTTTGTAATACTGGCTATGTAACATTTGTTGGAAAGTTTTTCCTTCTTCAATGTATTTTAAACAAATTTGTATAGGATTGGTACTGTGTCTTCCTTAAATGTTTGATAAAATTCCCCAGTGAAGCATTTGGAACTGTAGTTTTTTTTGTGTGTGTGTGGGAATGTTTTAAGCAAAAATTTGATTTTTCAAAAAAAAAATGCTTCTCAATTTTTTATATGGCTTTGGTCAATTTCCATAACCCCAAAATGGTGGTTTTTGATGATTTTGTCCAGTTTTACAGTTTTATTTTGCTAAGAGAATTTTTGACTTCTTCACAGTACCATACCCAGAAGTTGCCTCTCTACCTCTTTAAAAAAAAATTCTGCATAGTATTTCATTTTATAGATGTACCATAATTTATTTAATAAAAAATAGTTCTTTTACTTTTAAAATATATTCTGAGCAGTGCTGAAGCTAACCTTCTTCTGTATCTAACTCTACTTACTTGTGCTAATAAGATACATACATTTTTAATTTTAATAGATGTCAAATTATTCTCCAAAATTTGTTCTCAATAATTACATTGTTAGAATAATCTCCAAGAAGGTCCACTTCTGCATGTATTGCCACTGGTATATATAGGTTAAGCAACCCTACTCTGAAAATTCAGAATCTAAAATGCACCATAATTCAAAACTTTTTGAGTGGCATTGTGACACTACACATGGATGGCTAAGACACTAACATTTTTGTTTTCTGATTGTTCATTGTACACAAACTTTGTTTCATCAACAGAATTGTTAAATATATTGTATAAAATTACCTTCAGGCCACGTGTATAAGATACATATGAAACATAAATGAATTTTGTGTTTAGACTTGGGTTTCATCCTCAAGATATCTCATTATGTATATACAAATATTCTAAAATCTGAAAAATTCTGAAATCTGAAATACTTTTAATCATAAGCATTTTAGATAAGCAATAACAGCCTGTACTATTAATCTTTTATATTTTTGCCAAAATGAAAAACAAATAGTTTGGTATCTTTTTGTTTGTACTTATCTAATTGGAGTTGGGAATCTTCTCGTATGCTCTTTGACCATTTCTTTTTATTTTATGAAGTGACTTTTTATTCCTTTGCTTAATTTCCAATTTTTTAAGTTTAATTTTTATTTTATTTCATTTTTTGAGACAGAGTTTCGCTCTCGTCGCGTAGGCTGGAGTGCAATGGCGTGCTCTCAGTTCACTGCAACCTCAGCCTCCCAGGTTCAAGCTATTCTCCTGCCTCAGCCTTCCAAGTAGCTGGGATTACAGGAGCACGCCACCACACCCAGCTAACTTTTGTGTCTTTAGTAGAGACAGCATTTTACCATGTTGGCCAGGGTGGTCTTTAACTTCTGACTTCAGGTAATCCAGCCCACCTCAGCCTCCCAAAGTGCTGGGATTGCAGGTATGAGCCTTCATGCCTGGCTTTAATTTCCAATTAGATTGGCTCTTTTTTCTTATTTATAGGATCTTTTGGTATTCTAGTGATACTATACTTTTATCTGTTTTATGCTGTAAAGATTATTTTCTATTCTGTCATTCCTTCTTTCTAGTTGTAACTGTCTTCAATCTTTTAAGACTCTGGTGTTTTACTTCATGTTTTTGTTTGTTTTTAAAACAGAAAGTTGTGCAAGGGATTGATTTAAACCAAATTCGAGGACTTGGGTTTGACGCCACGTGTTCTCTGGTTGTTTTGGATAAGGAGTTTCACCCTTTACCGGTCAACCATGAAGGTAAGACTATGTCTCTTCCTTTTCCCAGTGGTGGGTGCCTTGGCTGATTAATCCAATGGACACAAGTGGAGCAGGAGGGCAGGCATCTCTTGCTGCTGATAGTGAGATTTAGAGGTAGAATGAGGTGACACAGATCATGTTGCAGATGTCAAAAGTTTGGAGAGCAGTTGGTATGAGTGGGGTGGTGCTAAGGCTGGATTAGGGGGACTTGGCTTTATAAAACTCAAGAGCCACAGTACAGAGCCTGGTCAAGGACGGACATGAGATTGTTAGCTAGGAGTGAGAAACCTTGAAACACACTGGTGGTTTTGATGTTTTCTGGGAAGGGAGTGTCAGTGCTTGCAGTTTCATTGTATATGAAGCTCCTATTCCATGCTTATTTGAGTGGCTGAACCAAGTCCTTTGAAAGGAAATGGAACATAGTAGACAGGGCCATGTGACACTAGAAACTAGAAGCAGATGGCCTCTCTATTTCCGATAACCAGACCAAAAGACATTCATGTTGAATGATGTTGTCCTAATAGAGACTTGTGAGTACAGGAATGAGCTGTTTCAAATGTCAAGCGCCACTTGGGTCCATCGTCAGAGATTTTTCACAGCAGATAAAGTTGTCACTTCTGGGGAATTTTAGCCAGTAACACTAGTACTGGGGTTACAAACCCAAAAGTCTATTAATACATTAATGTAATAATTAATACATTAGTCAGACAGGTAATGTAAATGAGTAATAGGCCAGGTTTGAGAAAAACAACCGCACATGTGTGAAGATAAATTTCAACTGATAATTAACCTTGAATAAGCAGAAGGCATTAGAGAACAGTGGAGCCTGCATTCCACTGGAAATTGCATGCTCCATCTGAAGGGAGGGGCTGGCCCTAGGCATTGCTAGTTAGCTGTTGCCAAGACAGACATTGCAAACATATTTTGGGCCAGATTCTGTTTGAGAACTCTTAGTTCTGGACACTGTTGCAGCAGCGTCTTTCTTAACTGTTGGCTGTGAGATAGTAGGGTGCCTTGGTACCCAGTGGAGTTAGAGTTAAGCAGGGTCTCTGATTGTAGCTCTGTCGTTGCTGAGCTGTGACATCTTGGGCAAGTCACTTAACTCTGCGTTTCTCAGTTTTCTTCTCTGAAAGATTTTGAATAATGAATCAGTAGCTTTACTGTGACAATTTAGTGAGAGATTGATACCTAAAATACTCAGAAAAGTTTCTTCCAGCAGATGATGAATTTTTTTTATGTTAAGAGAATGTTCTGGTCAATTCTGTGGACCTAATATATGAAAGTGATTATTATAATTATAATGACTATAAATGATCATCTATTTGCATCCCTTTTCACTATAAGTGATCACTATAAATAATCATAATCACTATGTGCTGAAAAGGGATGCAAATAGATGAATGATTAGAACAGAGTAGTAATGATGACCATTTTCTACACACACACACACACACACACACACACACTTTGTTCTCTCTTCTTGCCACATGTATTAACATCTTCTGTGTGCCAAGCCCTGTCTTATCAAATGCTGGGTCTTCAAAGATGAATCAGGATGGTTCTTAATCTTTGTGGCCATAAATTGTCTCAGTTGGCACTGTTGTGGCCCAGGACAGGGCAGCCTTGGTCTGAGCCATTTCAGAAAGCAGAAACCAAACATGAGTAGTGAAGAGGCAGACCTCAGCTCTGTAGCAGCAAGCATTCACTTATGACAAGATGTGGCCAGCCATGGACCTGGCCGTTTTGGGAGGCTGTCAGCACGTCTTTTGTGGGCTTTATTTAAGTAAAAGTCGGCGATTGTCTGTTGGGGATGCCATAGATCAGTTGTCTCTTACTACTGATAGTGAGATTTAGAGGCAAAGTGTAAAGGCCAGAAGTCATGTCTCAGAAATTAAAAGCTTGGAGAGCAATTGGTATGAGTGGGGTGGTGTTGGGGGCAGAGTTGGGGGGGGACTTAATTCCATTAAGCACAAGAGCCATGTTAGCCTGATTTTAGGTAGGATTTTAGATATTAAGAATCCTGCTTCAAGGATTTTGTATTATCTGATCTGCTAAAATACATATTTATTTATTTATTTATTTATTTATTTACTCTGGCTTGGCATTAATATCAACTGGAGATCTTTAAAACATTGTCAATTCTTGAGCCCTACCCCCAAGATTTGTATTCGTTTGACTTGAGGTGGAGCTAGGGTGTGGACTTCTTAAAAGAGTTTTCTCAGTGAGTCTAGTATGTGGAGAATCACTGGGCACAGATTAACGGAGAATGAAAATATTAGGAACAGAACACTTGAAGTGGAAGAAGATAGTTCCTTGTGAAATTTGCTTAAATATGTACCCTCTTTGGATGCTTTTTTTCTTCATTGTAGGTATAATGGCCTCCTGTTAACAGGTCCTCTATTAAAATGGTAGCTAGGTTACTACTCTAATTATAAGTGTTGAAATAACTTTATTCCACCTAAAAGGTTAAAGTGTACCCGTTCATCAAATGCATCCAGCTGCAGGTGCCCTTCATCAGTTTCTTGCCTTTCAACAGATTGTATTAAGGTTAGATTTTTTATGTGAAATGGATTATCCTGTGCAAGAAAATGAAATTAGAATTATAAAGGTGGTTTGAAGGTTCTTTAGAGAGAGACTTCTCTACTTGCATGGCAGCGACCAACTATTGATTGGCTAATGCAAGTAATTGTGAGGAGCATAGAGTGGTATCAGGAAGATTGCAGATAACCCTAATCATGCAGATAACCTAAAACCAAACCCGTAAGACCAGCAAAAGTATTGCCATCTTTAGATGTTAACCAAAAAATTACAAACAAATAAATTAAGTACCACAGTTTAAGAAAATACGGTATTGCTATATGATAAAATAGTCTTATTGCTTGCCTTTCCTTGTTTGACTCTTCTTCCTTAAAGAAAGATCAGAACAGCCCTTGGGTTGGACAGCAGCACAGTTGCTGAATGCTTCCCACCTCTGCCACTGACCAAGCTCAGAGCCTCACCCTGGTTGTGACATCTCAGCCATAGGAGCTCCTGGGAGGGAGAGGAACAAAGGGTGATAATTGGGGCTGGAAGAGGGAGTTATGACCTAGTCTTCTCTGTGCATCAGATACCTGATGTTTAGATGTTTTGATGATTCATAATAAATTTTCTCCTCATGTATGCCTGCAACACATTCTGTGAACATAAACCTGTATTTTACCAAGATATCAATTAAGCAAATACATGGATGAATAATCTGCCCTTAGGTAAAGTGAGATAGCCCAAATTTTGCCCTACCTCCAATTCTCTTAAAAGACGACATCTTCGTGGGTTTGTGTTCTGCTTCCCATGCTGCCGCATCATGTAGAACCTCTTTCTCACTTTTTCTTCTCCTGCCTAGCCAGTGGCTGGTCATTTGAAGAATTAAATAAACACTTTCCTGCCTTTTGGAAGCTTTCTTTGCAGCTCCAGGCTCAGTTAACTAGAGCCTTCTCTCTGCTCCTCCTCCATGTTCCCAGTTCCCATGTCTGATACTCTTGTTCTGGCAATCAACACAGAGTATAGACACTTTCTCCATGCAAACATATGCTGCTTAAAGGCAGAACTGTGGCACGTTCTTCCTGATATCCCAGCATCCAGCACTGTGCTTGGCATGTAGTAGATGCTCAATAAAAGATTAAACGAACTTTCCATTGATTTACTTGTGGTTTTCTATAAGAACAGAAAAAAAAATAATTTTTTAGTTTTTATCTAAAATGAAAATTAGAAATTATCCATTCTAATACAGTATTGATTCTGTACAATTTTCATTGTATTGTTCTGATTCCATTTTTGAGAGCATCTTTGTATAGAGGCAATAGTAGCTGATTGGTCTATCTTTACTATAGGCAGAAGTTTAGCAACAGATATTTTTGCCTTGAAGTAGCTGTAGGTGTGTTCTGTACAGTACTTAAGAAACAATACTGATATTGCCCTCTTCAATACTCACCCACCCACCCACACACATGCAGGTGTATGCATTTGTACACACCTACATCCTGATTCATTGGTGGTTCTGGAATGGGACCTGGACATCAGTTTTTTAGAAGTCCTCAAGGCAACACTAATGTGCAACTAGGTTTGAGAACCAGAGCTTTGAGCAGTTCTGTTATGCAGTGGAACCATTCTGTTTACAAAAAAATTCTCTGACATGCCTGTGGAAGGTCCCATACACTCTGTACTATTTTTAAAGTATTAGTATTACTGTTTGTGGAGCTTTTGTGGGAGGTGAGATCTTTTCAGTTAGGCAAACCAGCAACTGAGCCCCTGCCTTGTTATGCCCATGACCTTATTTAGATATCTTCTTACATTTACATTGGCTTTTTTTTTTGGATTAATTTTTTAAATTCTTTTCAAAGATGTGGAAGAGTGAAGAAAGCAACAGCTTCCTATGTACCTACCTCTGAGGATAAACATGACATTTTGCCACATTTGCCTCAACTCCTTTTATTTAAAAAAAAAGGTATTTGTAACTTCAGTTTTTCACTTCCTGCAGGTAACCATTCTGCTGTAGTTGCTATTCATAAACATACTGTTTTTGTGCTTTTACTACATATGTATGTATACGCAGAGCAACAAACAGTATACAATCATTCATCTGTATCTGAGGGGGACTGGTTCCAGGACCTCCTTCAGACCAAAACCCACAGATACTCAAATCCCTGATATAAAATGGCATCATATTTACGTATAACCTATATATATCCTCCCATATATTTTAAATCATCTCTAGGTTACTTATAATACCTAATGCTATGTAAATACTTGTTATAGTGTTTAGGGAATAATGGCAAGAAAAAAGTCTGTACTTGTTCAGATGCAACCATCCATTAAAATATATATATATTTTCAATCCACGGTTGGTTGAATCCACAGATGTAGAACTCACAGACATGGAGGTCTGACTCTGTGTTTTAAAGTATCTCAGCTGGTGTCCTTGTTCATTTTGCTATGACTAACACCAATTTATTCATTTTACCAATTGATTTATCTATTCTCTATGCAGCTTTATTTCCAAAACACACTTTATGCATTTCCTAGCTTTGAGACATTGGGTACATCTTCACTTTCAAGAGTCTGTCATTGAAAAACAGGGGTCAGAAACCTGTATCAGAGGATTGTTTTGGGGATTAAATGAGACGATGTATGTAAAATGTTTAGCACAGGGTTTGGCAGACACATAAACACACATTACAAACATTTGCTATTAGCAAGATATGTAGTGCTGTGGTTACTTTGCCATTAAATAAAATAATATGTGAAAATATAATACCTGGCTTGGCAACTGCTGGGTCTCTTTTCTCTTTCCCCTAATAATCTCCCAGGTATATTTATTGCTGTTCTGCACATTTTGCCATCAGAGGCGTCAGAGGGCTGTGAAAGGATTTCTGGCTTGTCCGTCAGTACAGGATGAATTAACAGAGGCTGGGGAGAGAGACAAGAAGTTACTATGTGGGCTACAGGGTGATAGAGGAAGGATATGGGGGCAGTGCTCCTTTTCCAGCCGGTTTTAAATTCTCTTCCTTATGCTTTACTCCTCCTGAGGGCCTATTTTCTGAGAAGTACTTGCCATATCCTTTATGTGCATTATCTTTTGTTTAATAACTTCCTGAATTATATATCTTCATCTGTAACTTAAGAATTAGTGTTCCCCGTTAGGTCTGCCTAATTCCAAAACTCATGAGCTTCCCACTCTAGCAAACAAGCCAACCAAATGAGGGGGAAAAATAAAACCACCTAAATGAACTAATTTTAATTAAACTGACCAGAAAAAAGTGAGTATATAAGCAGTTAAATGCCATTGTGTAGCTATTAGATATATTATCAAAGTATTTATTCATATTTAAGGGACATAGATCTTAAAAAGAGAAAGTATTGATTCTCTCTTGTGACCGCCATGGAATAAATGCCTTTCACCGTCTGCCATGACTCTGAGGCCTCCCCAGGCATGTGGAACTACATGTGCATTGCCATTGCGATTTCTCTTCTCATGACTCTGATATGTGCTATCGCTACTTATGGAACATACAAGCAACATGCAGCCTGGATTATCCCATTCTTCTGTTACCAGATCTTTGATTTGCCCTGAACACCTTGGTTGCAATCACTGTGCTTGTTTATTACCCAAACTCCATTCAGGAATACGTATGACAATGGCCTCCTAATTTTCCCTACAGAGATGATGTCATGTCAGTGAATCCTACCTGTTTGGTCCTTATTATTCTTCTGTTTATTAGCATTATCTTCACTTTTAAGGGTTACTTGATTAGCTGTGTTGGAAACTGCTACCGATTCGGCAGGAAATCCTCTCATGTCCTGGTTTATGTTACCAGCAATGACAATACGGTGCTTCTACCGCCGTATGATGATGCCACTGTGAATGGTGCTGCCAAGGAGCAGCTGCCACCTTACGTGTCTGCCTAAGCGGAGCTGAGGGCAGCAGCTTGACTTTTTTGACATCTGAGCAATAGTTCTGTTATTTCATTTTTGCAATGAGTTCTCTGAGCTTGTTTGTTGCTGAAATGCTACTTTTAAAAATTTAGATGCTAGGTTGAAACCTGTACTTTTCAGCATATGCTTTACTAGAACACTGTGATGATGAGCTGTAGAATTCTTTCTGTAGGATTCGGAGTGTAATGGGCTTCATAACGTTCCCTAGGCACTGAAACTTCCTCCAAATCTGATGGACCCAGAGTCAGAGAAGTTCACTTTTGTACCTGCTGGGTTTCAGAGTTAGGCAGTTAGTCACATTTTTTTCTCTCTATTCCCTCTATTTTAAAAGTGTAAAATAAAACCAAAAGTAGACAACTTTAAGCCATCCAGTGTAGAGAACAAAACCTTATGAAAACAGGAATGTCAGTTGGGTAATCATTGTTCTAATTAGGTAAATAGAAGTCCTTATATATGTATTACAAGAATTTGCCAGTTAGCATCCCTTATGACTTAAGTTCAATAACAGTTTGCACTTGGTGGTAAAGGATTTTTCTCCATGGCTTAAATTAAGACCATTATAAAGCACTAGGCTGTGGGAGCAGTAACCATCTGATGAGTGCTCTCATGCATCCGGGTCCAGGGACGTGGGGTGACGTGCCTCGTCTGTGTTAGAGGGTAGGATGGATGTGTTTGGCGCTGCATGGGATCTGGTGCTCCTCTCCTGGATTCACAGCCCTTCCCAGGGCCCACTTTCACTAAGTGTTCTGCCATACCCTGATTCAAGGAGGTCATCCAGCTGACTTTTTCAAGCGGAATTGGGATATATTTGATATACATTTGCCTAACAACATGGAAAAGGGTATTCTTCCTCCTTTCCCTGCAAGGTGCATTCTACTGCTTTGAACTTCCAAGTACGCCTAGTCACCTTTTAAAATGTAAAAGTTTTCAGAAAAGTGAAGATTGCTTTCCTTGAATGAGCTTATTATCTTGGCTACCTGAATTGCAAGGGATTTTTGTATATTCATATGTTCCAAAGTCAGCAACTCTCCTGTTGGTTCATTATTGAAAGTGCTATAAATGAAGTCTTTTGCAATTAAAAATAAAAAAAAAGAGAGAAAGTATTATCTTAGTCTTATTTCATAGACTTGTTTCCTGAATATATGCCCAGAAAAGCTTTTCTAGAACAGAAGGGATAAGAAAGGAAGGGAAGAAGTTGAGAGAGAATACATGATAATATAATTAATTAGTAGATGTTTTTCTGCTTTTAATGTAGACATTTTATTCTAAGGTTATGGTCAGAGAACACATTACTGGATGGGAGATTCCAGGCCTGGGGACAGTGCAGTCGTCAGCCTTGCTGGTGTCCTTTCACTTTGCTCATTCTTGATACATGGAATTATAGAAAGCACATAGCATTTTAGTCTTAGGAATCCGTAATTGTTCCCTTGAATTTGAAGAAATAGAATGTGTGTCTATCTGCATCTCCCTCTCGTTTCTGCTAGGGGATTCCCGTCGAAACGTCATCATGTGGCTGGACCATCGAGCAGTCAGTCAGGTCAATAGGATCAACGAGACCAAGCACAGCGTTCTCCAGTACGTTGGGGGGGTGATGTCTGTGGAAATGCAGGCCCCGAAGCTTCTGTGGCTGAAAGAGGTGAGTGTATAGAGTCTAAGAGAAAACACCAACAATGTGAGAGGATCCCTTTTATTGTGGATCTGTATGTACCAGGCAACCTGCTGAAATCAGTTCCCTTTGATTTTTCCCAGCAACTTGGAGGAAGGTAGATCCCATTTTATTGATTACAGTGCAGTTAAATCATACCTGTTTTTGTGTGCCTAACTCATACCAGGCACCGTGACAAGTATTGTACACATTATCTCTTTGAAGGCCAGCAACCCAATGAAGTGTTTTTGTGTGTGGTGTTTTTTTTGCAGGATGTCTGTTTTATAGACAAGAAACCTAATGTTCATAGAGATAAAACAACTCACTCAAAATGACAAATATGTGACAGAGCCAGAATTTGAATCTAAGACTGGCTAACTTCAAAATCATTTTAAAAATTTTAAAGTTTTTCTGTTGTAGAGACTTGGTCTTACTATGTAGGCGAGGCTGATGCGATCCTGCAAAAGTGATGGGGTGATAGGTGTGAGCCACTGTTCCCGGCCATCCAAAATCAATTCTTTTAATATCCAGTTTTCTACTGAAGTTCAGAGAGGTTAATTGCCTTTCTAGTGAGAAAGCAGCAGAGGTGGGAAATAAGTCCCTGTCTTCTGACCAGGGCCTTCCTATTCTGTACAGTGTTAGCCCCAGTTTACTGATATTTGGCCTTGTTGACATCTTAGGGTATCTCTTTCTCATCCCCCCTTCCTTGAGTTTCTTGTCCTTGAATGATATGGCAATCTCTGGTCAAAGCACTTGCAGGTGGTTTCCATTTCCAGATGTTAGGACTCTTTTATGAAGTGTGGAGAATGGTGATGTCAGCTTAATGGTTCCCATTAGAGATGGATGTGTGAGAAAGTTCAAGTCCTTTGGGAAACCTCAAGGACTTGAAAACCTCTAGGTGGTCTGAAGAAATAGAGAATCCATCTAATGAGCATGACCTGCTGTGATTCATTTACTGGCTCTGAGATTTCAGGTGGGCTGAGTCTTCCATTACTCAGACTGTGACTGGAGATAGGGAAAGCTTAGGGTTCTTAGAAGATGCCTAAGGATTGCCATCATGGGGCAAAAGAGTGGTAGGAAAGAAGGGCTTCAGCAATCAAAGCAGGCTTGGCTTGTTATCTGCTTTATATATTGAGCTGTTTTGTAAGTTTTATTCTACAGAAAGGCATCTGTGGTTGCTAAGAGTTTGAAAACAGAGTTTCTTAGGAGTTTTCAAGAATCTAATTCTGATTCTGCTGTCAACAATTGTATGCTTTGGTCAAAGCACTTCTCATCTCAGGCCTCACTTTTTTCATCTATAAAATGGGAGAGTTGGTTTAACCAGTGTGAAAACCTGACTCAGAATATACTGAAACACAAAATTGAATACAGAACTGTTTTGCACTGCCCCCACACCCTGCTTTGAATTGTATAGGCATTAGTTGATTTTAATCCTAACAATCTCTGCCTGGTAGACAGCATGGGAAACTGATCCTGAGGAGGCTTTCCCAAACAGGTAATAGAGCCAGAATTTAATTCCATGTCTACTGGGCTCCAAATCTCAGCTTATTCTATAATGTCATGCAGTACTAAAATCCCTCTGTGAAGCATGGTTCTTAGGGGATAGGACCAGGAATGATGGCAGTGGTCTTCTTCAATTTGGCCTAAACTTGTTGCAAGAGAGAAGAAACAGGTTAGATATATCACCTTTTTTGGCAGCACAGAATGAAGAGTTATACTGAGTTGAGCAAAGAGGATCGGGCCGAAGGTCTTTAGTTCAGCGTCAGGGCCTTGTAGAGCTCTTGCCGCCTGGCCATCTCCAGCCTATATTCTAGGAGATCTAAATGCATATCTGGCATGAACCTCTCAGGATTCTTACCCTCTCAGACGAGATCAAACTGCACTAAATAAATCCCACAGGAAATAGTTAAGGTCTAACTTACATGCCAGTGTTTGTGACTTTCTGAGAGCATCTTCTACTAATTTATTTTAAAAAAATCAATTTTCTTTCAGAATTTTCTGAGTAAGCCTCTAGTGTGGGTGTGTTTTGGTAAGCATGTACAGGAATTCTTGCTGAGAATTCCTTTGGTTTTAACATGATTGCAAAATCAAAATTAAAGAGATTTCTAAAGTCAGTTTTAGCACCTTATTGAAGCCTGTCCACAAAAGCTATAGTGCTTCTCAGACTCAAATGTGTAAATGAATCACCTGAAGATCTTGCTGAGCTATAGTTTCTGATTCAGTAGCCCTAGGATAGGGACTGAGAATTGAGAATTTGCATTTGTAACATAAGTTCCCAGGTGATGCTAATGTTGCTGGCCTGGGGACTTATGAAACCACTTATACTTCCAAAAGCTCTGTTCACCTACTCTGAAAATCTTCCCCTTGTGGGGAGTCAGGGAATGGTACCTTTGTTTTTAAAGCTGTGATGGGAGACACAGGGAAGTTTGAGAGCTTCAGTAGAGCTGCTCAGGTGCACATTTGAAATAAAAGCATGATGTTCTGTGTTCTAAGTTCATTGAGCTGTCATGTGTTTACTCTTTATTCATTCTTTAATTTTTGAAATCTGTACTGAGCTCAACTATGAACCAGCAACTGTGACAGGCACTGGGGACATGGGCTGCACAGAGTCCACTTGGGATGGTGGTCGGGGAGCATAAGGAATGGGGTTGGTGGAGGAGTGACATGAAAACAGAACCATCAGATGTGCCATGCATTGTGATATAGCAGTATACAAAGCGCTCTGGGAGAAAGGAATTGCTTCCTGGAGGCAAATAGTTTGACAAGAGCCTCAAGATAAGAGCAGAGGTTTTGACTAGTAGAGAAGATAGGAAAGAGATTCTGAAGAGAGACTTTGGTTCATCTGTGGTATGGTAGGTGAGTCCCAGGGCATGAGCTGTGGTGCTTCAGTAAGCATAGCAGGAGGTGAGGCCAGGTACATAGTCTGAGTTCAGCTTATTAAGGGCTTATTTGGTGATAGTGATTGGTTGATGGTTGTTAAGCAAGGGAGGGGCCAGCTTAGGTAACTGGCAGACATATAAAGATTGGAGAGAATATGTGTGTGGGAGTAAGAACTAGAGTTTTCTCATTCCCCTGATGATAGCACTCTGATTGCTTTGCATTGCTCTATTAGATACATTCCAAAAACTGAAACATGGACTAGAAAATGGTGCATGATGTCATTTTTCCCTCCCCCTCTGCCCTCACTGTTTGTCTTTTACCTCCTGTCTCACTGTATCCCATCCACAGGGATCCACTCAGAGTTCTTTACACGTACACAGTTCTTTGCTACCTGAGTCTTGGCTAGAGGCTGGCAGCCTGTGGCACCCAGGCCAAATGTGGCCTACTGCCTGTTATGCCTGTTATTGGATGGCTTGAGAAAAGGTAAATGTCTTTGCATTTTCAAGTGGTTAAGAAAGAATCGAAAGCATGATATTTTGTGACTTATGAAAGTAATATGAAATTACAGTTTTAGTGGCCATAAGTTAAGTTTGATTGGAACACAGCCACATTCATCCATTTATGTGTTGTTTATGTCTGTTTTCACACTACAGTGCCAGAGTTGAATAGTTGAGACAGAGAATATATGGCCTGCAAGGCAGAATATAGGTGTACTGTCTGGACCAACAGATGAAAAGTTTGCTGATCCCTGGTCTTGACAGTGTTGACTCTTCCACCCACAGTGTTTTTTCCTCTGCTCACCACTGATTCTTCCTTATCATTTAGGTCTCAGCTTTATTTTTGCATTCTTATAAAGCCTTTACTGACCCTCAAATAAATCAGAGTCTCTTGTTATTATACTCTTAATTTACTTCATTGTATCTTTCATAAATTGTAATGCTACGTCAATATGTGTGGTGATTTGTATAATGTTTCCTCCAACCATTGTAATCTACAGGAAAATAGAGACCATATTCACCTTGTTCTTTTTTTTTTTTTTTTTTGGGGGGGGGGGACGGGGTTTTGCTCTTGTTACCCAGGCTGGAGTGCAATGGCGCGATCTCGGCTCACCGCAACCTCCGCCTCCTGGGTTCAGGCAATTCTCCTGCCTCAGCCTCCTGAGTAGCTGGGATTACAGGCACACGCCACCATGCCCGGCTAGACCTTGTTCTTTGCTATGTCTCTGTCCCTAATCAAATGGCTGGTGCATAGTAGGTGCACAGTACATATGTTCCTAATAATTTGAATGACTCAGTAACTCAATAAGGGGCTGTTGCAGTACTCCAGGGATAACTAATGAGACCTGAATTAGGCACTGTGGGATGGAAGGAGATGGGTTCTATAAATCTTTAGAGGATAATATCAATAAGACATTGAGACTGATTGGCTGTGAGGAGTGAGTCAGAGCTGACCACTCACTTTATTATTGCTGTCATTTATTTTCTCTTTGTCCTTAGTCTAGAGTCAGATGTCAGAGGGAGTTGGGCAATATTTGGGGTTATATCTGTCTTGAGATGTACTAGGACCACGATAGCTCTTGGACAAAGTCACCTGGGTCCTAGTCCTGGAAATATGGAATTTAATCATGTCCTTTTCATTTAAAGTTTATGTGTTTTAGGTTGATGTTTGTCTCCTTAATAAGAGTTGTCAGATAAAAGGAAAAATGCCATTTGAATTTTTCATAACCCCCAGCAGTCTGGCTTTTCCATTTGGTCTCAATGATTCTGACTCTCATCTTAATGAAGGCCAAATGTAAATTAAGTTCTGTCAGGCTTGAGCAGCTGGGGTCTCCTATCTTTATAAACATGAAACATTGTAGGGTAACAAGGTGCAGACTGAGGAAGGTCAAGAGAGTTGGAGAGCTGATGTGGATCCTGACAGCTCAGTGTTATTGGGATATAATTAACATGGCTTGTAGGGGCTACATGGAGATCTTCCAAGCTGTCTTCTAACTCATTTCCTCTTTTGTTGTTGTCAGCAGTACAGAAAGCTAATCATTTTATAGTTTGAGATTTTTGTTCCTTATTCCAAAGTTCTGGAACCAGCTGTCTGGCATGTCACAGGATTTTGTT